AGACGCATCATTTCTGGTTGGTGGTTTCAAACATGGCTTTTATTTTCCATAATATATGGGATAATCCTTCCCATTGACTTTCATAATTTTTCAAGATGGTTAAAACCACCAACCAGATTTTATAGAGTCTGAAATTCCACTTGTTTGAAGGGAAACATGTTTGTAGTAAGCATGGTTTCCTGTGGATGTTCTCCCAACTGATGGCGCTTCACAGCAGGTGGTGATTGGAAGACCTTTTGGGACTTCTTGCCTGACAAGGTCAAAGGGGGAACCAAGCATGGCAAAATGAGAAAATGCTGGTGAAACAACAAAGACAATGCTCCAAAATCATTTAGTTCAACATCATTCTTGTTGGGTTACAGAAGTTCAACATCTCAAATGTGTACATGCTAGTGGTTCTTCCTCAAAGGGCCCAGCTTGTGTGGCGCGAGAAAAAATATACTTTTTGAAATGAACACCTACACACGTCTACTCGCATGTGCGATCGTTGCGGACATTTACACATAATATCTCCGATGACCAACAATGCAACTTTGGAGCTGTGGATTAAGCTATGCAATATATTGCTTGAATGGTATTTTTCTTGTGCCTACTTGGGTGTTCATTAATAGACCTCTATTTAAATTGGGATAACTACATCCATAATTGCCATGTTGTTTACCCTCTGGTAAACTAACATAACTATGGAAAATCACCATTTTTCATGGGAAAATCCACTATAAATCACCATTTTCAATAGCTATGTTAGTCATAACCAGAGGGTAACCACTTAAAGGTGGAACTTTTCTCCCACTTAAACACTTCAATGCTACAACTGGCGTCGCCCAGGAGGAAGCTTTTCTCTACTCCACGGACGGCCGGCGACCCTTGAGCTTCAAAGAACTCAAGGCCCCTCTTCGATCGAAGAATGGGTGGTTTTCTATGGTTGGATCAGCCGTGTAGAAATTTCTCATGGCGTGGGTCAGTTGAAAGTGTTGTACTTTTTTCCATCATCAAGCCTAGCAATTGGACATCCAGCTATAGTTCGATGATTTTCCCAGCAAACATCCATTTATCATAGGGGATTTTCCAGCTAGCTACATTTGAATTACCACAGACCACCGCCGAAATTCCACCATATATTATAATATATTATAATGCTTGCATAAGAATTGCCATGAAGTGAAGTATATCCCTGATTTTTTCCACATAATTTTTCGATAGGTGCAAGGTCCGGGTCGGATATGTTTCATCCATTGAACCCGGCTGGGTCTGAAAACCGGGCATTTCTCCAGGCATCTTAAGGGTGAAAACGATGACTCGTGGGGAACCCTATTTTAAGATAAACCCTAAACTTGGCTATGGTTGGAAATCCTCACTGTGACGTCACTGGAATATGGTTGATAACAGAAAACATCCCCAAATGGCCGCAAGTTTCAGCTAGTTTCAGGTTTGTGATTATTGTAGTTCAGCAAGAATTATTTGGTTGTGTCCTGCTTGGGCATGAGACTATTCTTGAATAGTAACAATCATCGCCATCAACATTTGCCCTTGTTCTTCAGTTTATGGCCTTGGGTTTACCCTCCCAAACATGCCAATAGAGAATCCCCATATTTATGGAGGTTGTTCATTGATTTTCTCTCTAAAAGCTACATTTCTAGGGCATTGATAGGGGATTTTCTAGCCACGTTTGATGACACCAGAGGCTTCCCAACGTAAAGAGCCCGATGTTTTGCTGCAGGCCTTCATCGTGGATGAGAAGAACGACCTGCCGGGTATGGGCCGAGAGGACAGCCTCCAGGGGCTCCAGATATAATCCATATAATGTGGGGCCCCCCAGTTATAAGTTGGTTTCTAATCCCCAGTAACTATAGTTATAAGTACCATAAACCATAGTTATTGGAGTTATGTGAACCCCAACTTAGCTATCGAACGGGGCCCCACTTTGTATAATATCACCCCTATTTCATGTGCACCATCCCCCAGTCGTCACCATTTTTATAGGTGGTATAAACATGTATAAACCATTCCCAAATGGGTGGTTTATTATTGTTTTACCCACATTATAGGGGATGAAATAGGGATGTTCCATCAATCTAACTGGGTGTTGTTGAGCCATCGAAACGTGGAAGGTGCGAAACGTGGATCCTTTGAACATGGAACATGATGATGAGGGGGTACCATTTGAGTAGCAACTCATCACTGTTTGGGGGGAAGCCCCGATCTTTTATCAACCATTAATCAGGGTTTATTAATCCGGGGTTGACATTGATCATCAATTTCTGGGGGTACCATAATATGTTTTGAGACAAACCCAACATAACCCAACTAGTGTGTTTTTTTGCTTGTAATGAACTAGACAATCAGCAAGACAATGAGACTAAATTGAGACTATAGTCCAATGATCTTCGGTTAGTGGTTTACATATTAATGTGCATTATTTCACCCCATGGGAATTCTAATGAACTAATCCACTATGGGAGCTCCGCTCACCATCAATCAGCCAGGCTTTCAAGCACGGCTTGAGCAATGGCCTGAGGGTAAATTTTTGGGGTTTCCTAAAATGGGTACCCCAAAACCATTGGAACCATAAACATGATCGAATTTTGGATGTGTGGTACCCCTAAAATATCGGAAACCTCCATATGTATGCCATGTCGATGATTTTGGATTCGCTGAAGATGATGTCGTGATTTTGTAACCACGAGAGTCATGTGGAATCCACTAGACCAAAAAAGGGTTAAAAAAAAGGTATAAACTGTAGATAAAGTATCTACCATAAACCATTCTCGACCGAAGTCCCAAGTTATTTCAGATGATATGTCCTTCATATTTCTACAAACCATTGCGAGCCAAAGTTATACACCAACTTAGCGGACAAGAAGCTGAGCTATATAAGTCATAACTACGTAACTTGTTTTAACCAATAACCAAAGTTATTGACTAAGTTATTAAGTTGGCTACCTAGTTTTAACATGTTTTAACCAATAACTATACAAGTTAACTAAGTTACTAAGCCCAATAGCCACAGTTATCTTTCTTGGGTTTCCCCGCTGGACCAGGATCGCTTGTGCTTGGTCTTCCCCACGGGCCCAGAGCTAGCTGTGGCATATTTGGCTCGGAGACCGACCAAGGGCGTTGGTTTACCAAAGGCTGTTGGAATGGAATGGGACAACAATCATTCTACTGGTTGGTGGTTTGGAACATTTTTTTTCCCCCAATAGTTGGGATGATGATCCAACCTGACTAATATTTTTCAGAGGGGTTGAAACCACCAACCAGACAACCATTCTAACAATTTCTTACCCATATTTATTTCAGGGCCGAAAGAATATTCCATGCCAAAATTTGGTATGCACAGATTTTCTGAATATGGGAATGTTGCCTTTAGAACCATGGGCATGCCGGACTCCTGGCTCAGCATTGTATATTATACATTTTTTTTTATATTTTTATCAGTTTTTTTTTGTATTATATATCAAGTTATAATCTAATCGTAGATGATAATTATCATTATTATCAATCATTATTATCTCATTTATATTGATATCATTATTATCAATTATTTTTTTTGAATGAGAAAATTGAGAGAAGAGTCCTTTCTTGCAAGCCCAAACCAAGCGATTTTCCACGGCCTGCGACACCATTGGCTGCGTGCAGCCAAGGCGTTTGCCGTGCGCTGCACCGTGGCCCCCTTGAACCTGTTCCTCCGAGCTTGGGCTCCGAGTATTGCCTGGGCTAGGGAGACGAGCTGCAGATTTCGCCAGATGGTGTTGCATTAATATGGTGACCATATAGATGTAATATTATAGTTGTATGTTAGATGTATATACTAAATATGTAACTTATTTAGATGTAAAAGATGTATATCTAATATACTAAGTAGTAGATGTAATATACTGCATTATAGTTGTAATATTGATAGTAGTAGATGTAAAAAGTAATAAGTAATAAATGATAGAATAGTGTAACAAAAACACCTATGGGCATGACAACACAGATAAGCCTTAAATCATTGTAGTATACACGTAATATATTCTTGATGGTTTATACATGCCTCAGCCGTTAGGCAAATCGCTATCTCCCAGCTGAATTGAGCTTAACCGTGGGCTCCAATAACTATGCTTTATAGGGGATATATCTAGACTATTGATGGGGGTTGCAAACCAACCAACATAACTGGAGGGGCAGCATCTTGTAGGTGACCTATCGCTGTCAACGCCGATCTAAGGCGGAGGAATTGGACTTTGAATACGACGACTTGCCTTGCAAGGCGGCTTTTTGCGCGCTGGCGCAAGGGAGAGAGGAAGGATACTCAGGATACTCAGGATACTCAGGATTTACCTCTTGTTTTGATGATAATAAGATATATATATAATGATATAACAAGACCTAGAAATGGGACATGTTCCATTGCTAGGTCAACAATCTGACGAATCCAAGACGGACCCGTTTTGGCGCATCGCCGCATCGCATCACTCCCCGGATCCCAACCGTAGCTGACGGCTTCAAGGGAGGTTCTGGACGCTGGGGTTGAGCCATTTGATTTGCACTACAAACATGGAATGAACTTGATTTGAAATTAAACACAATCAGAAAATCCTATCCTAACAATTCGGATTAAATACATCTATCAGATTCCTATTGTTGGATGGTAGAATGATAAGAATATGTTCGATGTATCACATTTTGAGATGGTGTTCTTCATGCTTGGGACTGGAATGTGATGGCCCCCGGGGCAGAGTAAAGCTGTACTTTTTCTCACAGATCTGACTTCTTCATGCTCATCACATGATTCTCAACATGAACGCTGGTTCAACGCCTGGTTGTTCGAGAATTGGTGGGTTGTTCACCTACCCTTTCTATTGGGGATTTAATCATATTTAATCATCATCCATGAACTGGGAAGCCATAAATCACCATTGTTCATGGGTAAATCATGGTAAATCACCATTGTTCATGGGTAAATCATGGTAAATCACCATGGTTCATGGAAAGGTGACTGGGTGCTACCAGCAGTGGCACAACAAAAAAACACGTGCGGCCGTCATGGCGCTTGGCGTGTGGCGGTTGGCTCACGGCATCGTGCTGACTGTGGCCGTACGGGCCCTTGAGGCTGCTTGGGGATGGCTGTCATCGCCTGTCCAAATCCTGAAAGGAACTACCCTCTGGTAAACATACACAAAACTATGGAAAATCACCATTTTCAATGGGTAAATCCACTATAAATGGTCATTTTCAATAGCTATGTTAAATTACCAGAGGGTAATGGGGAATGATAAAGATATGGGGAAATAAGTCTTGATGTTGATGATGATGATGAGGATGAGGATGAGGAGAAGGAGGAGGAGGAGGAGGAGGTAACTATGATGAGTTGCAGGACCGCAGTCTACCAGGACCTACCAGCTTGCTCAGAAAAGGGTACAATGATAGCTGCAATCCACCATGGTCAGTGCACCAGGAGCATCCCTCATGAAACGGTCTTGTTTTTTTTGCTGACTGCTTGTGCTTGTCACAAGGTGTGACTTAGCCTGGATCTTACTCGGCATGGTGGTGCATAGCTTTGCTGGACATCTGCCCCGCATCCTTTCATTCTGCATTCATGAGTATTCATGGATATTCATGGGTTTTAAGTCTTCCATGGTTTCTTTCAGCATAGTCATGCATAGTCCCTTTGCCCTGACTTGACCAAATTCTGTAGCACGTTGATATAAAGAACATGAAAGAACCTTTTGGACATGAGAAGGATATACTTCTGATCACACAAGAGCATCCTGTCGGTGATTGACGTTGGCCATACTTAGCCCCAACTCCAGAGACATTTCGGCACCCAGAAGTTCATCAACCCATGTGGATCTCACCCTGCTGCAGTTGGGGGGCCAGGATTTGACCTCCGTGGATCGTTGGGACTGGGAGGAGCTCGACGACGTCGCCCACGTCGCCGTCGCACGAAGCGTGCAGCAGTTGGATTTAATCCTGGCAGACGCCCGGGCTGCAAGGGATGGGATGGTGGGGAGGGATGGGATTGGAGGTTACCCTCTGGTAAACATACACAAAACTATGGAAAGATCCACCATTTTGAATAGGGAAATCAACTATTTCAATGGCCATTTCCAATAGCTATGTTAAAATTACCAGAGGGAAAGAACAAATAGGGAAATGGGGATAGATACCAACCAAATGTAGAGGGTGGTTCGAAAAAATGTTTGGAGAAACCATGTTTTCCCAAACATCCAAACCAAGTCCTTTGAAATCCGAGGGTTTTTTGGGACATGGGGATAAAGACCAACAGCAGGTTTGGAGATGTTTGGGGAGTTTGAGCTACAAAAATCGAGAACTGGTCCAAATGGATATAAAGCCAACAGGATTTGCTAATGGTTTCCAGCCTTTAGGTTGCAAACCCTAAGGACATTCTCCAGAGCTGATCAGTGGTGGGAGATGGACGTGCTAGGTACCACGTTTTTCTGTTCAACCGTCTCAGTCACACAATTTCAATGATGGTAAGTCAGCAAAATTACTGACCGTTCCATTTTCAGATGGTGTTTTCTGTGACATTCCCACCATTTAATTGCTGTGGCGAAGTTGCAATTCCCCCCTATATATGATGTCTTGTTTTTGCCATTTGAAAGCCCCGTATTACAGAGGATCTGCCAACAAACCATGTTTGATGATCGGAGGGTATTCTAATTTCATTTCAACATTTCCCCAGATCCACGCATCTTGAGGTAAAGCATGCCTCAGAAGAACGCCTGGAAGAAGAATTACAACGGGTTTCTTCCCCTGCCAGTAGCAGCTATGGCCGCTACTGGCGATTGGACGCACCTTGATCCATCAAGAATGGGGAGTTTCTCAAATAACATGAAATAACATTAGGACTAACTTAACCTGCCAAATAGATATATATATATATATATTAATATGAATAATTAAGGCCTAAGTTATAAAGACCAAGGATATCCCTTGTAGAACTGGGAAAGCTGGCCATAGTTATGAACCACTTACACTGCCTGGAATTCACTTCCACTTGGAAGGTTTTGCCAAGGTTGAACATGAGACAAGTCGCCTTTCATGCCAGCTCTTACCTGAGCACTCGGCCCTTTTTTATCCCCTAATTAGGTGGTGGCATGACCACCATTCCGGACGTGTTGCCGTGCCATTGCCGTGAGGAAAACTTTGCATCTCTGCTGGGTTGCAGAAAAGAAGCTGAAAAGATTCAGAAATATTTGGGAATCAACGGCACCATGATTTCCGAAGCATCCTGGCAGCGGGCCAACAGGCCGTGTGGTGAATGCTGAATGCTGGATGGCATGTGGCGCAATTTGGTATCTGTAGAGGGAGGGTACTGTAGGTATGCAAATTCTTTTTCGATTTCCTGGCTTGTATAAGCTTGTATATCATGAGTGGACACAAGTATTACAAGCGGGTGTGTTTGTAGCGCCCTGCATTGATTGCAGTCCCTAGTGGCCCGACTCCCATCCTATCCCATAGCCTCTGGTAAATTCTGGTAATTTAACATAGCTATTGAAAATCACAATCTTTAATAGGTGAATCAACTATAAAATTCAACATTGCCAATTGATTGTTGATTTTATCAAAATATGGGGATTTTCCATGGGATTTTCCACAGCTTGTTGTATGTTTACCAGTAGCCATCAATCCTATCCCATAGCCATCACCAAGATGGGAGACTTCATCCGTGTGAAGAAATCCGTGTTGGAGCTGGAAGCCTTGCTGAAGCTTCGCTTCAGGCCCTTTCGCCACAAGGCGACGCGGGCACCCCGGTACAAGGTGAGGCAAGAAAAGCCATATGAAAATGGCAACCAAAAAACAGAGACTTATTGGGATTGGCTTTGATTTATGATAGCTAAGTTGACACATTTTTTTATTCGTGAACTTGGGTTGACAAAAATGGGGATGTAGGCCACAGCTTAATGGGTTTAAACCAACTAACTGGAAGACCTAACCTAGAAAAACATGTAATCTTACTTTGATGACCAGCTTGGGGTGGTGGACTTGGAGATCGATTTTCCCAGAAGGTGGACACCATTTTCCCTTGGCCATGCCTGGCACACCACTATGATCATTGGATTCGAGTCTTGAAAAGCGGCAGTTTTGCACATGTTATTTAGATATGGGATGATATGGCTTTGTGTCATTTTTTTTCATATCCCCAACATGATTCGGATGGTTTTTCAACATGAACAGTTCATCTGAGGTCCAACCAGGTCCCCTGAACCATGGCCCCATCCGATCCGGTAGCAGCAGGTCGCATTTTTTTCTAAGGGACTGGTGAGTTGACCAAAAGAGGCCCAAAACCTCTTTGACCAATGTTCCGACGCTTTTTCATTCTGGAGTCCATTCTATGTACCCTCTGGTAAACATACAAAAAACTATGGAAAATGGCCATAGAAATAGTGAGTTTTCCCATGAAACATGGTGGTTGTCCATAGTTTTTTGTATGTTTACCAGAGGGTACCACATCTGATTTGTGGATGGTGGATGTTCATCGATGGTTATAATTTATAAATTATGAGTAATTATGCTGTAATTATATGAGATATTCTAACAAAGTTAGATGCTCCAATCCCCAATTTTTACGATATCATATTACCATATCTACCGGTGAATGCTTGACCAAAGATTCGTTCCGATTTTTCCATCCCCATCTATCGATGCCGAAATTTTCACGTCCCAATCCGATAGTTTTCACGTCCCATATCCGATCGATGCTCGACACTGGAAACCCCCAGCTACTTATAGCTAAATGGAGGTGTCCTAAAATGTTGCTACCCCAAAACCATGGGTTTCAATACTAAGAAGCAAAACCCTGCGGGAAATCTTAGGGTTTGAAAAATACCCGAGCTTTTCTGACAAACCCCGGGGTATTTTAACCCATTCTGAAAGTACGGGTTAGGTACGGGTTAGGTACGGGTTAGGTACGGGTTAGGTACGGGTTAGGTACGGGTTAGGTACGGGATAGGTACGGGTTAGGTAGGGGATAGGTACGGGTTAAGTATGGGTTCAAAATCAATACCCGAGGTCTTCAATCGAAAACCGAGGTTTTCTTATTTTTTCCGAAATACCTCAGGTTCTTGCGTTGACCCGAAGAATTCTTAGGGTTTTGGTTCTCCAGGTATGGACCAATGGACGAATGGACCGAATGACTTTTTTGATGATTTGGGGTAGCCCTATTTTAGGACACCAAATCATGAACTCCAGGCCAGTGGTCAGATTCGCTTTGCCGCCCGAGCCTTGGAGCGCTTGCAGCTGCCAGATGCTCGGCAAAAAGTTCCAGCCAAGTTGGGAGGGATCTGGGATGATGATGATGATGATGATGATTTTGTTGAGAGGTTGGAGATTTTGTACTCCGAAAGTGCTGGGGAGGCTGTGTTTCCAAGTGTGTGCTTTTTTCCTTTTTTGTTGGAGATTCTGAGATATTGAGTTATGTATGGATGCCGTAAGCATCCAGAAACCTCTGTTTTTGTAAGACTCCAAAGGTGGTTCTGGGATTGACATATTTGTTCTGTCCCTACGTAGCATGATGATCCCACACCAACCAACCCTGACACCCTCCCACCTGCTCCAACCAGGCCCGATTGCAGCTTAATCATTCTTAATCACCATCTCATTTTTCTTCATAGACATAAAATATCATAAAATCATATAGAGTGAAAAGTTTGTGGCTTCTGAGTACGTCTGGCTTATTAGTACATCATTAGCATACCTTATATACTTATACGATCATATACGTATATATATTATAGTTCTTTTTTGTTTGTTGAATCATAGAAAAGAGAGCCATTGGGATAATCATGGCTACTTGGTGGCTCATCCCACTTAGTAAGTAGGCTATACCCCTGGGTATAAGTAGCGTTTATCCCATTTATCCCACTTAACTTAGTAAGTAGGATGAGCCACCAAGTATCACCAAGTAATTAGTGTGTCATGTTTTTGGTGTGGTTCAAAAAAACACAGGAAACCTGATACCCTCTGGTAATTTGTTACATAGCTATTGAAAATGACCATAGAAATAGTGGGTTTTCCGTGATTTTCCCATTGAAAATGATGATTTTCCATAGTTTTTTGTATGTTTACCAGAGGCTAAACCTGATCCAACTGAGGAAGCTTTGGCACAGATCGACCTCATCAGCGGCCTCCACCTCCCTCGACCCCTGCGGTCACCGCGACCGTCACCGCGACCGTCACCGCGACCGGTGGCAGATTCGCGAAACCATACAGGTGCTCACCGTGATGAGGTTGAGTGATGGGCCCTACTAGTTATAGAACGGGAACGGGGTACGTAATAAAATCGTATAAATACCTCAATGATGGATACTCCATTACTCCATTCAAGAAATAATGTAGATACCTCAAACATGATGGACACTCCAATCGGCCATTGGGGTTATCTACCGACCTTTGGTCACCTGGCAGACTTGATCCTTTTGATAGGCACCAGCTGAGGCGTAGCACCAGCAACCACCCAACTCCATCCCACATTGCCAATATCGGCACCAAAAAAAGTACCAAAGGGTAATCCCACTGAAATCCAAAGGCCCCTGCCACTATTGGTTTTTGAACATCTGTATGGCCCCCATTGATGGGGAAGCCATGCAGCTCCAAATAGGATACTCCTACATCCACCAGTTTATCATCATTCTCCCCAACAAACATTTGGGGGGTCCCATGGACATATGTATAGTCATGGTGGAGTAGATCGAATATGGACATAAAAAAAAAAAAACACTGAAACATCGGGAAGATGTTGGGAAGATGTGCAAGAAGAATTAATATTCATGCATAGTAAATCTACTGGTTGGTGGTTGGGAACATTTGGATTATTTTTCCATATATTGGGAATGTCATCATCCCAACTGACGAACTCATATTTTTCAGAGGGGTAGGTCAACCACCAACCAGCATCCATAGTAAATCTACTTTAGGAATCTTCAGGACGTGTCTCCCAGGCAACAGCAGCAAGGTCCTCGTGGTGGAAGCCCGTGACCGGGGCTTCCAGGTGCATGTGCTGCTGAATATGGAGCGAGCCAGGTGTGGAGACTTCTGGGTGACCATAAAACATGGGATTCAATGGGATGTTGATGGAGATAGTGATGTTTTTTTTTTTTTGTGGGATATAGAACCACCTGACAATGTTGGGAAAACAGTGGTGGTTGATGGTGAATTTGATTTCGAATCGAAATTTTCTGTTTTTTCATGTTTTTTCCTTATTAAAAGGGCCACCTGGATGGTAACCCTCCTTTTTTGTAGACACGCACAGCATATGGCCCGGATCCTGTGTCGGAGTTGGACGATAAATAGGGATATAAATTAGAAGAAGGGCGAGTCAAGAAGAATGTAGGAGGAACGCCGCTATTTGGATGGTTTTCTACACTTTGATGACCTTATGTTGGGTTATCTCTTCTATTTGGATACAAAGCAAAACCATGCAAAACCTATGATTAAGCATTTGAATATTTTGAAGGTGGAAGGAATGTTCCAAAGAACCCATTCTTTTGATGATTTTGACCCCAGGATTCTCCCGGGGTCCAAAAATCGGAGCTGCAGATACCGGCAGCTTTGCTCCAATGAAACTGGTGCTACCTGCGCCCTGCGTCACTATGATGCCATTTGCACCCCTGTGATTGTGGCCGGACGTGCCCTGGGCTTGATGAATGTTGGGATGAAGTTAGGATTTGAGCATCGAGCAATTGGACTTGGCCAAAATCATGCCACTGGAACTATGGAGCCAGCTCGGTGGGGGATGTAAGTCTGATTGTGAATGAGAGACAGGGCGGGATAAATGTAAGCGCCATAGGTGCACTGTGCCTTGTGGCTTTTGGGTAGTTTATTCCTAGCACAAACGTAAATTTCATCATCATGGTTTTTTCAAGCAAGTATGTCAGCTGGCAGTGCTGTGCCCTATTGCATCGAGGTTCATGATGTCAAGTTACCCTTTGGTAATTTAACATAGCTATGGAAAATCACCATTTTTAATGGGAAAACTCACTATAAATTGCCATTTTCAATAGTTATGTTAGTTTACCAGAGGGTATCACAACTGAGTTTGGAACTCTCCAGTGTGTGCATGGACTGGAGAAGAACTGAAGTCTTGAGATGTTTCATACCAAGCACAGTTCACCATTTTGGCGCCCATGATCCCTACCGGGAGCCCGGTACTGTATCCGCCCCGAAACATGCTGAGGTAGGGAATATTTGTCCGCGACCCAGTACGGTGCCAGATCTTGTACGTTTTCTATAAGAAGTCTTGACAGGCAGACAAAATAAAGATACACTAGAACCAAGAGCTGGAGATAAACCCATGGTGCATATCCTTCAAGATCTTCAAGCTGCTTAAATTTGGCCAAGACAAAGCAAATTTGTTCTCTGAAACATGGGATCTGAAGTCAATCATCATCCATCGTGAATCGTATTTCTTGTAAATATTGGATTTGTTTGCTATGGCATAGACATGCATAGCCTATATAGATCTATATATATATATATAGATGTCCGTTTCAAATGTATGTTTGATTTCTGCTCAAGCCTTGGGAGGATCCCACCTGACTTTTCATGTCTCCCGTGTTGGTTGCAACGCCACGACGCCACATGTTGAGTTGTCCGAGGGAAGCTGTGAAACTTCAAGCAGAGGTACAAGAGGAGCGGGTCCGAAGTTGACGCCATGTCATGCTAACTGGTGGTGCCCCCAGTTGTGTTTCTTGATTTATAGAATGTTCATAAAAGGTTTTATCAACCTATATTCTTTGCTGACACAATGTGGCAGCATGTTTCATGACTTTTCCAGTCAAAGTCGATGCATTTTCCAATGTCGATGGCAGTTGTTCGCTGGGATTCTCGACCTGCAGGACTCGTGTTCTGTGGCGGGGCTCAACGAGTCAAGCTTGGGAACCCAACTTGCAGCCAGGGACCAAAAGCAGCTGTGCACATGGCTACAGCTGATAAGATCAAGCCCGAATGAGCCTGAGAGTGTGGATTTCCTCCTCAAAACACGCGTAAAAACCTTGACCGTGCTGAAACGGTGATGTGAGTGATGTGCCTAACAGTTGAAATCCATGGATTTTCCTGAAAAATGCCCTGGGGGTTTTGCTCCTGAAAAGACCAAGAAGTCGTGGCTGGGCTCAACTGCAAGGTCATGCTTGTGGAATTGAACAGTCCCAACCAACAGATCTACTTGCACTCACTAATGCTGGAATAGGCCAGCCACGGAGAATTGGCTGTTGTACCGTACTTGACCCTTTTGTGGTTTCAGAAACTTCGGCTGTGCATCCCCATTTGTGCTTCTTGTTTGTACCATCCAAAAGAAGGAAGGCAAACTCAAGAACATATTATGAATCCCTTCTTATGAACAAATTATAAAAGAGTTTCATGAATTGTACTAATTGTACTCAAACTCAAGAATCATGAACATTTTTTTTGTCTCATGAAGTTTCATGATTCCCTTCAATCAGTTTCCATTCCTGAGCATCCCCGGGAACACCACAACATTCGCACCCAAAGAACAGGGGTCCAGTTCCGGGGTCCAAGGTGTACAGATCACGTGCGTGATTGTGTTGGGTCCGTCTCTGGAGACTGGGCAGCACTGGCAGGACGGATTTGAATCATCAATAGTATCCCTAAATATGATAGGTTATATTTATACATAGCATTACATAGCTATATAGGATTAATTAGGATTATATAGTTACAAATATCATTGTTTTGATTTAAGATAGGGATCAGTGGTAATGAAGTCTTTATATCAATGATGGACATGGCCCAACCGCCAATGATGACTCAGACTTTGATCGCGGATTCCTTCTGCAATCAGATATAGAACATGTGCCATGTAAATGTTAAACATGGTTTAACCATGTTTGTACATGTTAAACCTGATATAGCACATCATTAATGATGTTTAATCCACAGATATAGAACATGGCTTAATGTTTATGTGCCATTCAACATCATTAAACCATGTCAAACTTTTGTTGGCCTTTTTTTTTGAAGGCATTGGAAAATTTGGACCGGGGGCACCCAAATGTCCGGACCAGATGTTTGAACCCCAGGTCGGCGTGAGAAATTTCCCTTGGGGAGAGGGCCAAACGCAAAACGGATGGATTTTTAATGTTTTCTTAAAAATTTCTAATTTTTCTAGGTCTAAGAGTCTAACATCATGTTTAACTATTTTCCATTTTTTGGGGGATGAGAATCCAATAGTTAAACATAATCCCATATATATCTTATATATTTGGGCATGAACATCAAATAAACATGAATGATCCCATATATAGTTGGAGGTCTTTGGAGGATGAAGATCAATACCATCCTGTCGTCTGTGCTGCCTGAGGGCTTGGTGAACTTTTCCCCCACTGAGTTGCAACTGCAAGCGGCGGCTTGGACTACGGGCCAGGTGGGCAAAAACGTTTTCAAAAATGGCAAAACAAATAGAACAAATGCAAAAAATAAATGGCAATTTGATAAACTATAAGCTATCAGATGTTGGTGGAAAAATCATCGGATACGTCAAGTGAATACATGGGATGGTCATTGTTGGTGGATTTGTGCTTCGACATTGACCTGCACGCCTACGAAGGTGATGCGGCATCGAGTTGTTTTCGACATTCCCAATCATTTCCCTTGTGTGGATAATTGGGTTTAAGATCTTGACTCATACACTCATGCCTATATATATATATACATACATACTGTATATATATATATATTGACATGCCCGGGATCATCCTAAGTTATAGCACTTCGGTTCAGGTTCCAGGTTGGGACTTTCCAACGAAAAAGAAATCCCGTGCTGCAAGCCGGGCGAAGTTGGGATTGTTGACACCAGGTATGGAGGATCTTTGGAATTCCATCATGAAACAAACCACCAGGTACTAGTACTTTTTTGGGTGCAGTTCTACTCAGTGGGGAAAAACAACGATACATAAGTAGGCGTTGTATCTCAACTTATGGAGGTTCTGAAACATCTAATTACCACAAAAACCCATTTTTTTCATCCCAACTACAGGGTCCCGGTATGGACTTGGTCCGAGGTCTTTGCGGATGGCAGCCAGAGTGCCTGGGTGACCTATGAGAGGTTGGCCTTCCCTTCTCTCAGCATGACTGCACCTTGGAGTCCATGGAGATCTCGAGATCAGCCAATGGTGTTTCTGAGGCGATAAATGGAGATGATTTACAGATGTTAGGGCCGTTAGGGCCGTTAGGGGATGGAAATCATCAATCCATTCATATATTCATAGTATTTCATAGTGATTTGTATACCCATTCATAATGTTCAGTTCAGGATTTAGAGTACCCCGTTATGTTCGGATTTCCAACGGCATGGGATGGATGGCCATAAACATCCATAAACATCCATAAACCATGTAGATACCACGTTTTGAGCACGGCAGATATGGCACAGATATGGATAACATACAGCACCTGTATATTATATACCTCTACAATAGTGTCAGAATGTGTCAGATACCCTCTGGTAATTTGGTACATAGCTATTGAAAATGGCCATAGAAATAGTGGATTTACCCATTGAAAATGGTGGATCTTTCCATAGTTTTTTGTTAGTTTACCAGAGGGTATGTTGGATGTTTAAAAAAAAAAACCTCTACCGTTGGGATATGTCGGGATGACTCTCGTTGACGAACGAATCGCTGGGAGTTGCTGCTGGCCACCAGCGACGGTGGCTGAGGTGGGTGATTTGCGAAGAATGTACCACGTGCCCTGGATGCGAGCTGGTGATTTTTCGGTCACATTGGATGAGTTGGAGACAGTTTACTTGAAAAAAAGGCCCAAAAACCCATGGGTTTCAATGGGAAAACCCACCATTTGTTAATGGGAAAATCCACGAAAGAAATCCAGCATTTTCAATAGCTATGTACCAAATTACCAGAGGGTATGTTGTTTCCTTTCAAAGTCTAGACCAAAAGTCCAACGTTCTCCTCGGAGTATACCTAGCACATCCTAGCACCCACGATCGAACTTCCAAACTCATCTCAGTAACAGAGACCCATCCATGGTTTGTAGGTCGTTTCCTGTGGAAACCATGGCCATGGCATGGAAAATTCATGGATTCTCCACATGCTTTGTCCATGGATTCCATGGTGATCGAGGTGCCAGATGGCTCTCGAAATCGGGCAAGCAACAACTCCCAGGCAGTGGCGAGTTTCTTCAATATCAGCGCATCGGAGGCGATCCAGCTGGGAAATTATGGGGGGGAAGATCCAGCAGAAGCGAGATATATGCCCTCTGGTAATTTAACATAGCTATTGAAAATGGCCATTTATAGTGAGTTTTCCCATGAAAAATTGTGATTTTCCATAGTTATGTTAGTTTACCAGAGGGTATAAGTGATGTTGATATCGGGGCAATGGGAATATCGGTGCATTCTTTTCAGAAAAACAACGGAGACATTGTGGATCAGCATGTTGTTTTCCTGGCCGAGATAGGTGGTAAATGGTGGTAATATAGAGGCCGGGTGGATGTTTGCTCACTTAATTATTTGGCTAGACGTGAAGTTTATGAACCATTGTCGCCCACTGTTTTGAGCTGAGAGTCTAGTGTCCTCAAATCGTTGAACAAAGCCCAATTGAGGCATCTTAAAAGGCCTTTGTTTTGCCATTGCATGTTGCAGAATAAGCATGACATGACTACGGTGTGCTCTAGGAAAGCTATTTTTCACTGTCAATGAGGTTGGCCACAATATTCGCAAAGCAATCTTCCAAAATCTCCCCAGTTGGCCTGAAATTTCTCCTTAACATCTCCCCATTTTGGCTAGAAATTCATCCCTTGGATTCCTGGTGGGATTTTTCTGGGGGTACCCTCTGGTAAACATACAAAAAGCTATGGAAAATCATCATTTTTAATGGGAAAATCAACTATTTCTATGGCCATTTTCAATAGCTATGTACCAAATTACCAGAGGGTATGCCTCAACGTGCCCAGGAAGATGCCCGGCTCTTCCATATGGCCATGGGCACGCGCCGGCAACCGGCCGCCTCGTTTCAGGGACCTCGCGGAGAGCCGGGGGTGGAGGGCAACATCGACATGCAGTGGATCCAGGCGGGATGGCGGGGGACATCATCATGTCATCCCAACCTGGCATATGGGTGTGTCTGAAAATAGTGTACCCCTAAACCCAATGGTTAATGATCATTATCCCTATTAAATGGCTATAATTGGGAATATACCCTATTTTCAGACAAACCCATATATGTAATAGATACATATAGATACTGTCTATGATATATTGACTATAAAGAATTATAAATATAGGATGAATCATTCATCATTCCCGAAACTTTGGCTTTGTTCATTTTAGTTCTGTGTCGGGAATGTAGATGCTTGGCTTACAACCATGCCCTGAATCGACAAGAAGCGCGTAATTGTTGAAAGATGTTGACAGGTCCGTTACAAGACAATGAAAAGATATTAAAAGACAGAACATGACAGGAAAAAATGTGTCCAGATGATTTCTTGTGTCAGGAGCTAGTGAAAGTCGCCCCTGTACGTCATTGTACGTCATACGGGACCTGAGTGTTCGTGCTCCACCTTGCTTCAATCCAAATCGTGTCTGTGGCCTGAGGGTGTTCTGACCAGCAAGCATTGAGCTTTGGTTAGTCCCCTCCAGAAAACTAACATAGATTTGGTAAAGCCAAATGACTTGTAGATCGTTTTGCTATAGGACATTGTCATAGATTTTCTCTATGGCCGCCATGGTTTTCCAATTCTTCATGTTATCTCAGAATTCATGGAACAAACATGAAGAAACAATCATTGGGGTTTAACGGTTTGCCCCAATTATCTGTGGTCAATGGGTAAACAATATATAGGGGCTGCATGTTGGGGTTACCATGGCATCCCCCAGAGGCCATGGGGAACAACGTGCCAATGACCTACTGGGCCACTCCTGGAGGGGATCCCCAAACGGCGCATGAGCGGCTTGGTGAAGTTCTGGGTCTTGAAAACATCGGGTTTTTGTGGAAAAACCTCGTGTTTTTTTTCATATCCTGTGTTTTTGTTGATTTTTGAGTTTCAAGATATATATATATATATAGATATATATCAATACCACTTGGTGTAGGGACTATTTGTTATCGCAATGAAAGCTGATGAATTTTGGCCATTTGCTTTGCAGACCCAAGATGGACTTTTGGCATTTCGTCTTGGATTCCACAAACTCAACGGTGCCCCCAGTTTGAAGAGACGACCTTTGAGGCCTTTCCTGGAGTGGTTGCTGGAGCTGGCGAACAGACCCCCGGCAGATTCTGAAATCGCTGGTTTTTCCAACATTTTTCAACTGGCAGGAGAGTCATCACCATGTGATGTGAAAGCGATACTCTGTGATATAATGTGATTACACAGTGATAACCACCTGTTGATTTGTTGGTGGTTATAATTTGATATGAAAATGATGGCTGCCACTTGTTGAAGATTTTGAGTCAAAACTCAGGTTCAGCTGCATTTCACGCACGTCCATTCGAGGCAGCAATCCACCTTTGGTGCACTCCCTGAGTTATGGCGAAAATGAAGAGGACGGCCTGCTGGTCGTCTCAACATGTTTCAAACGCCTTTCAACGAACAAAATGCATGAGATATTTTGAGATTCATTGCTCATATCATACCACTGAAATGATTGAACTCCCTATCCCATACATTCCCATACATTCCCATATGATTGAAATCATATTATATTTACAATAACTATATGTCATAATTACATATTATTAATATATATATATATAAATATATATATATCTTCAATTCTATAGCTCAGATTCCCTTGAAACGCAGAAAAAACCGGACACAACGCGTCAGGACTATTCCCTGCCCTACCAGCGTCGCGGAAACCTGGAACTCGCCAAGTTGGGCCTCCGTGGCATCACGGTGCTGGCCGCCAGCGGCGATACAGGACGGTTTTTTCACGACGACATACGACGACGGGACATCGTTGGATGGTGAAAAAATGGTGGTTGAACGGTGGGAAAACCATGGGAAAACCATTGGAAAACCATGGGAAAACCATGGGAAAACCATGGGAAAACCATGGGAAAACCATGGCCTTCAGTGGCTACCAATGGATTCTAAGTGTTGGGAAGTTGGGCTTGGTTTTTTGGTTTTTAGAATGGTGATGAATGGTGTGAAGTGTGGTTGTAAATAATAATATATGTTTTTGTTGATAGAACCTTGAAAATGTGTGTTACGTAGCTGGCCTGCAGTTAAGATAGTCAAATAGTATTATGCAATTTTTGAGCCTTCCATGCTAGCATCAACAAAGAGGAAGTTCGGTTCCATTACCTGTGCTACTGGAAGAAGTTTCTGAATCGGTAACTTTGAATTGGCTTAGTCATTATTTAGGTCTGATTATATTATGTTGAATCACCAATCATTCTAAGTATATGCCATGACTTGCCTGTACATGAGGCGAGACAGATCAGCATTGAACTGCATCTCGAACGATTGTGACTGCGATGATCTTTTTGTGAGGGATATTCAGATTGAAGAGGAAATGGTTTTGGCAGAAGAGAAGATCCAGGAAGAGGGTGGGGAGCAGCAATGAGATTAGCTTCGACCTGCATTTGATTAGCCTTAGCAGTGGTGATTGCCCATTGAGCGAACCTTGGGATTTGGGGAAAGGAATGCTGGCTGCTGATTCTGTTTGTGCGGAGATGACCCCAAAGTTTCAAATGGGTACGTGGTACAAGCCTACTGCTGAAAAGGAAACCGAATGAATTCGCAGCGAATTCCCATCCTGAATATTTTTAATTTCCCACCTGTACTTAAGCAAATCACCTTGTACAGGAGGGGGGCTACCAACCCCCATCCCCTGTGAGGTCCTGAGCGCTCAGGACCTTGTACCTCCTCACCCCAGCGTAGATTGGGGCAGGCCGTTTGACCTTGTAACCCCCTAGTTGGACTTTTTTCATCTGTAGTTAAGATAGTCACCTCGAGGTGGTACAAGGTCCTGAGCGCTCAGGACCTCACACAGGAGGGGGGCTACGGACCCCCATATGCTGTGAGGTGATTTGCTTAAGTACAGCCTTACAAAAAATATTGGTCACATTATGATGTTCAGCAAATCATCTTGTATTGAAAAGCTGATTTACCAAATCATTTGAACTAATTATGAATTGTTCATTCATAATTTCATAATATTAATTAACATATATTTACACATTGTTTGAGCAAATTATGATTGAACAATTCATAATTAAACTGGTTGCAATTCAGATTGATGGGCACCAGAAATGGGAACAGATTCTTGTAACAACAGTGACTGATAATTCCTGCTGCTGGGTGACCAGGTCTTCCTTATTACATCATACTCGGTTGATGGTTCCTCCCACATTGGGTCAAATGACTTGTCATCCTATCAAGATATGATACCATTCATTATGATCCATTATTATTGATGGATTATTATAGTAAAAAGTAATATCCCACGAATTGAAAAATTGCCATGGGTCATAGGCTTTTGGGTTTTGGGATTACATTGATAATGGATTATATGGATAATCGCTATAAATCATGTGATTATGGCCGATTTTTTGGGTTCAAGATCACAACTTCAAAGAAACAAAAAGTACTATTTGACTATGCTAACACCACCCCAGGTAGGAAGATACTTTTTTGACGAAGACCTGACACTACTGTGCTCATAGCATCTCACATCAATATGTGTTTTGAAATTATTGAGCAAAACATACAAGACGCCAGTGTGAGACCCCCTTGACATTTGGGACCCTATCTAGATGCAGGATGACCCCTATATCAAAGTCCAAAACTGGCAGATGTTCTGATATCGTGCCCTAGAAACCTGATATTTGGGGACACCAAGGTTACACAGTTTACATAGCTTATTACTATGCCATTTTGATGTGCATAGATCATAACCCGACCAGCCAAACCTTTATTTTTCATTATTTTGGCAGGGGATCTCGGATTTGCATAGATTGACCATGATATGCAAGCTCTAAGCTCTAGATTTTTTTTTTAAACTACATGACCCACCAGCAGAACCCCCCAAATGTTTACCTCCCGCGTCCGTCCAGGGGTGCAGGGAGCTGCTCAGCAGGGCGGTAGTCCACCACGATGCGCTCCGTTCGCAGCGGCCACTCGGTTCCTAAAACGGTGGTACCCCAATAGCTGGGTGGTTTTTGTTCATGGATGATGACTAGGGGTACCATAGGGTAGCCCTATTTCAGGAAACCTCCAAATGGTGTGTTTTTTTTGCCTTTTTTATACCAACCATTTGTGGATTTTTTGGGTTTTGTGTATTTGCATAGGGAAAATCGTGTTCCCATGGGCGAACTCAAAGGTGGTAAAATGGATCCGGTTATCTCGCGGGGTTTCTACTGGTTTTCTTATGGTTTCTGGACAAAAACCAACGGTTTTCCTTTAGTAGAAGCCTTACCCTCTGGTAAACAAACAGTTTGCTATTGAAAATGGCCATCGAAATAGTTGATTTACCCATTAAAAATTGATTTTCCATCGTTTTTGTATGTTTACCAGAGGGTAAGTCAACCCCACAGCGTTTCTGCCAGGTATGGCCAGCTTCTTCCCCCTACATCACCACTGTGGGGGCCACCATGGTGCCTTGGGGCATGAAATGATTCGGTTGTGGACCTGCGTTTTCGACCGTTTTCGACGACGATCACTGTGAGTAGCCTCTGGTAAACATACAAAAAAACTATGGAAAATCACCATGTTTCATGGGTAAATCAACTATTTCTATGGCCATTTTCAATAGTTTTTTGTAAGTTTACCAGAGGGTAAATAAATGGATACAAACCGGGCAAATGGATTCAGTTGACGTTTGATAGCTCCACAAGCTGCATTTTTGGCATCCTCTGGCAATGTGCCATGTCTGGGTCCCAGGTGTCGAATCACATGTCTGCAACTTGGCTGAAGGATTGTGAGTTCAGTGTTCAAACATTTGGGGACCTTTAAAACTCACCATGAAATGTGATTTATACTCTATATTCTTACATTCTTCTCAGGAGTTTCCCAGTTCTCCTCCAAGATACAATCCTTTATGTGGGACGCACCTGATTCATATGAATGTATTATAGTATATATATATTATACAATGTTATATATAGTTGCATTTCATATACCGTAGTAGGTTCGCTATATTCTAGGATAGTGTTGATTTCACCAACCGGTATTGATCATTTGCGGGAAACAATGCCATGTTGGTGTACCTGATGAGGTTGCCCATACAATGAGGGGCTCTTAACAGTCAGAGCCGGCTGACATTTCCAGATATTCCAGTTCAGCTGATTAGGGTCAATGAACAAACCATGACAAGCCCTTGAACAGTGGAAACACGGCCCCCTTTTTTAATCGCCAACAAAATCTATTGAACCTCGCATATTTGACAAAGGTATGATAACATAGTGACTTCTCCATATCTTCCCATCATCATTGTTCATGAGGAACCATTTTAAACCATTTAAATTAACATATATTGACATCTATTGACCATTATTAACCATTATTAACCATTTTGAACCATGGAAACCACTATTAACATCTATTAACATCTATTAACCATTATTAACCATAATTAAGCCGTTTTAAACCATATATTAAACACGTTTAAACCACTCTTCACCATGATGAACCAGCCGTTCCCCACGTGTTGCATCCGAAAAACACCCCAGGACGTCTGCAATAGCGACCGCATCTACGCCATGGGGTCGAACAGTTCCATGCCCTTCGCATGTCCTGAGACCAACGTGGGAGAAATTGCCGCCTGGATGTGGATGTTGGTTGGCTGGTTGGAAAACAGTTAATAAATATACTGGTTCAGAATGGTTCATAACATCATTTTTTCGAAAGCAGTAGTTATGAAAACCATGATGAAGCATATTATTTTCATGAATATTAGATATTATCTATTATGATATTACAGTAACCATATTAATCATATGGATTAACCATTATTTTATATATTAACCATCGTTATGAATGAACCATGGCGTGGCACATGAAACCGTTGTGGTTGGATTCGGACTCGATGTTAAGTGCGTGGCATTTTGATTATATTTTTTTGGGGAAGTCCCTTCTAAAAATTGGCGAATAGATCACCAAAAAAAGGGGAAGTTGTTCAGTGGCAATTGTGGCAATGGTATTTCTATTTTTTCCCGTTTTTTTCCCTGAAAAGTTATGAATGGGATATTTTACATATTATATATGTACCCTAACTATCCGAGTGCATCAAATATAGGGATTCGGGAAAGACCCTCACTAGGAACTACTTCCGGTGGGATCCTTTGTATTTAGGTACTTGGCAAATATATATATATATATCTATCTAGATAGATAGTATGAATCCTGCAACATTTTGCAGATCAGAACTGTAGTTCTCTAAGAGCCGCATGCTACAACCATGCGCCCCCCTCTCTGCCCAGTGCGGCACCTTTCTTCCCAGAAGTTTGTAGGCATTAGGCAACCCCTTAATCCCAATAATTATGATTTTAAAATCCAATTTCTGGAATGAAAACAATTTCTGAATGGAAATGAAAAAAATCCACCACCAAAACATCTTGGGGCTTGGAACTCGGCTGTAAATTTGCTCAAGTTGCCATGATGTCGTCCTTCCAGGTAACAAGAAAGTTTGATAATAATCTGGGGATGTATACGTTTATTTTTCTATTGGATTGATCACATGGGGAACCATATTTGGGGATTGAAGGAATTCCTATCATATATTATTTATTTTTGTGCATATGGCCAAATTATTTGGGGTGACCTGTGCTGCCAAAAAGGCTCCTGATTTTTTGGGGCATTGACACTGCTGGTACCTACCACGATGAAATTTCCCAAATTAACTGGTGTATGTCCCCATTATTTAAGAACAATTTGAAGTAATACTGGGGGTATTTTGTTGGGGGACAATGCCGGCAGTTGGCTGCACTTGGCTGATGGTGCTGGGTTTGGGGGGGGCAAAAAACGGTCCAAACAAATGGCCTGAGATGGCCTGAGGTTTCACCGCAAGAGTTACTGAATACGATTATGTATAGATTAGTTGCTACATACATACATAAAATATATACATATATATATATATATGTATGAATAAAACTGGATGGATATATATATATATATCTACAAAGATAAATAAACAATATTGACTCAATCTCCCGAATGGGAGCTGCAAAAAAACACCAGTCCAGACCAGCAAAACTGAAGTTGATTCACAGAGCAGGCCAAGCTGATCTTGTAGCCCTTCTTCCGCGAAGGCTTTCAGCATATCAAAACATGAGGCTGAAACCTCTGGCAGGTTTTCGAAATTGCCAGCTTTCAAGCCATACTGTGCCATACCGCTCGTGGCCGCGAAGGTGTGTCGCAAGAGCTCGACAGGTTCCTCACTAGCCGAACCAGCCGACCTTAATGCTGCCACTCTTCTGGCTGATGATGCCATGCGACCCAGGCTTTGTCTGGAATGCTGCAAACGCTTCAAGTGCATGCTAATTTGGCATGCATCTGCGCTTTAGGTGAGAGGAAAAAACATCATCCTCAAGTAGATAGATGATAAAATGTTTGGACGGTTAACCACGAGATAGGGTGGGGAACTTCTACCTTATTCAGGATGGTGATATATAAGTATATATATGTGTATATATATATATATTCATTTAACTGATTTATATATTTTAAGTATCTAAATATGAATCAACATAAATAAATCAACATATTATTCTATGGGTATATTTTTTTATATATATGGGAATATTTTTTATATATGGGAATAAGTTAATGTATAAGATGTAGCTTTGTATTTATTGACTGGTCCAGGAGAGGCCCAAAAAAAAACTTGGCTATTTCCTTCAGACCTAGTTCAAGCCAATTTGCATTAAATGCAGCTGTTGGACGACTTGAAGCCAGAAAAAAATCCAATTAAATTGTGATTTGCAACGAAATACCACGAAATTGTCACATATTTTCTTCGTGCCACGAATCTGTGAAATCCGAGGCAATTCCTGTACGAAACCTGGCAAAATTCGAGAAATCTAGCACGAAGTTTGTCTTCTGGTGCACGATACCCACAATTTCGATTTGGTGGCTCATTATGGGTTACGGGACCACGCGTTAAATTAGCGTTAAAAACCGTTAAAAGCCGTGATAGCAAACTTTACAGCGTTAAATTCGTTAAATTTGGATTTCCGAAAACACATGTTTTTTTCACAAAATTTACGGCAATTTTTGCCCGAAGCCATTTGTTGTTGGGTTCACTTGGGGTGGTGTACCCTATGGCGAAGGCAAAAGCTTCGGTTAGGGAGACAGCCAAGCCTGCTGTCCCCAGGTGAAAATGCATTTGTTTTTGAACATGTCTTCATGCTTCGTGGATTGGCTAATTTAGATTTTGGTTTGAAGCTTGAAGACATGGTCAAACAAAGGCAATATATTTTATTAGTTGAATTGTTTTGGGTGGTTGTATATCCCCAAAATATTAATATTTGGGAACCCAAAATACCTCAAATGTCAATTTGGGTTACGATATATTGTTTTGTGTACATATCCTCCAGTTCATTGCATTTTTGGCTTCAAGTCGTCCAACAGGTGCATTTAATGCAAATTGACTTGAATTAGGCCTGAAGGAAATAGCCAAGTTTTTTGGGGGTCTCTCCGGGACCAGCAAATAGATACAAAGCTACATCTTATACATTAATTTATTCCCATATATATAAATACTATTCCCATATAATGATATGTTGAATTATTTACGCATACATATATATATATATATAAATAAATATTTATAGATAGATACATGAATTAAATACATATATATATATATATACATATATATATTATATATATATTATTTATATACTTATATTTCACCATCCTAATTAAGGTAGAAGTTCCACACCCTAATTTCATGGTTAACCATCCAAACATGTAATAAGCTATCTACCTCAGGATATATTTTTCCCCTCACCTAAAGCGCAGATGCATGCCAAATTAGCATGCACTTGGTTTGCAGCATTCCAGACAAAGCCTGGGTCGCATGGCATCATCAGCCAGAAGAGTGGCAGCATTAAGGTCGGCTGGTTCGGCTAGTGAGGAACCTGTCGAGCTCTTGCGACACACCTTCGCGGCCACGAGCGGTATGGCACAGTATGGCTTGAAAGCTGGCAATTTCGAAAACCTGCCAGAGGTTTCAGCCTCATGTTTTGATATGCTGAAAGCCTTCGCGGAAGAAGGGCTACAAGATCAGCTTGGCCTGCTCTGTGAATCAACTTCAGTTTTGCTGGTCTGGACTGGTGTTTTTTTGCAGCTCCCATTCGGGAGATTGAGTCAATAATGTTTATTTATCTTTGTAGATGTATATAAATATATATCCAGTTTTATTGATACATATATATATATATACATATATATAAAAATAAAAAGATTATAAATATGTATATATATATATATTTATTTATTTACTTATTTATGTATGTATGTAGCAACTAATCTATAATCGTATTCAGTAACTCTTGCGGTGAAACCTCAGGCCATCTCAGGCCATTTGTTTGGACCGTTTTTTACCCCCCGAAACCCAGCACCATCAGCCAAGTGCAGCCAACTGCCGGCATTATGTCCCCCAACAAAATACCCCCATTATTACTTCAAATTGTTCTTAAATAATGGGGACATACACCAGTTAATTTGGGAAATTTCATCGTGGCAGGTACCAGCAGTGTCAATGCCCCAAAAAATCAGGAGCCTTTTTGGCAGCACAGGTCACCCCAAATAATTTGGCCATATGCACAAAAATAAATAATATATGATAGGAATTCCTTCAATCCCCAAATATAGTTCCCCATGTGATCAACCCAAAAGAAAAATAAACATATACATCCCCAGATTAGTATCAAACTTTTTTGTTACCTGGAAGCACGACCTCATTGCAACTTGAGCAAATTTACAGCCGAGTTCCAAGCCCCAAGATGTTTTGGTGTTGAAAATATATGCCCTTAAACTCAGAAAGAACAATTGTGCAGTGATTAAAACGAAAGTATTTTCTGAGCGGGGCCTCAGTTTGAAAGCACCTACATTTGAAGGATTTGGATCCTTAGGGGTATATGTATAGATATATTAGAATATGTCAGACACACATCAACCATTAATAGTTGACCTATCACAGGACATCGGAATCCAAAGTCCACAGAAGCAAGACATGTGCGAGCCCGAGGTGTGCTCTACTCAGACGGGATCCATGATCACCAGTGGCGGCGGCTTTTCTCAGCGATTTCCTCGACCACAGTACCAGGTGCGAATGGATTCACGGAGAGATCTCACCAGAGATGATACCCTCTGGTAATTTAACATAGCTATGGAAAATGGCCCATTTATAGTGGATTTTCCCATTAAAAATGGTGATTTTCCATACTCGTAGTTATGTTAGTTACCAGAGGGTACATATAGTTACCAGGGGAAATCATTACAGGTACGTAAAAAAACAATGTGTGTTAATATCCACGCAAAACGTGGCATTTGAATAAGAAAAATCATGAAGCACTGGATGGATGATGGATGCAGGAAGATGCCGTGGAAGAGTACCTCAGTTGCTTGGTGGATGTCCAGGAACGCACCTTGGATGTTCCTCTGGTAAAAGATGAGTTCAACTGGATGGATGAAGATTGGAGTAACATGGCCCATTTACTTTGATGATTCACTGGTTTTTAGGAGTGATGATGTTCCAGAGCGAACTGTTGAACTACCTGGGCCTGGTGGGGGATTTGGGTGATGCTTTACAGATCACTTGTAGATACGCTTTCAATATCGAAGATGTTTAGCCAATGAACTGACCGTAACTCACCTATTTGAGTTGTTACATCAAGCAGGGTTCAAAGATTGCTTTGAATTAGCTGGTTCATTTCACTCATACCATGGTTGGTAGTGGTTCGAATCTTTGTTGCACCGCCTGCAATGGCCGCTTATCGGGACATTGTAAAGGTTTGACCAGGAAATTGCTTTTCCCCTGTGGCAGCACAGGTTTGTACCGGCGGCATTGATTGGGATGGTTGGGTGCTTTTGTCAAAAAAAAATGGGAGTCGAGTGACCAATCTAGCGGGTCAGAAAAATGTGTCATGGGGGTGAAGAAGCATATAGCCATATAGCCCTTGCAAGGATGTGTTATTCGGAGGGATGACATGCTGTTTACATCTGTTTGATGTTTTTTAGGTGTTTTTTTTGTAGACTCGGCCAGGCTGTCAGGTCCCAACAGCCCGGTGGGCCTCACTTAAGTGGTTACCACTGCCATCCATGGCCATCGGCGAGGTCAAGTCGATGTGAATCGATCCCTCTCTTCAACTCGACAGGCAGCGGTAAAATGGGGCTCCAACGGTTGATCCAATGGGTACGTGAAGCCCAGCAGCTTGGGGCCCATTGAAAACTTGAAAACGGTCACGAAAAGATGAAGGATGATTTCAAAGTTACCTTAAGGAACATCCACAGGAAAAAAAAACCCATTGATCCGGATCGACTGTAACGATCTCACTGTGACCTCACTGGAATGATGGTTAGGGATGGTTAGGGGAAATGGCCTGGTTTGATCTATTTTTAGGTCAGTGAATTATTGCCATTCAGACAGATTTCCAGCATTATTCCCCGGCCACGTTTGGATCACCGGAGGATGAATCACTATTTGATCCCAATCTATCCAAGCCTCCCCACGTGTTGCAGCTAAACATGATGAAAGTCCTCATTTTTGCCAGCAAACTCCATTTTTTTCGAGAGAAAGTAAAGTATTATGTATTTGAAGATTTTGAAGGTAAGATCATTCCCCAATCTCTTTGAAGTAACATCTCATTTCGTTCAGATCAAATCCGTAAAAAAAATGTTGTACGACTCTTGCAGGTAGAATTGCAGCTTATGACTCCGTTTTTGCCACATTTTTTGGTCAAATCTCAAATGGGGGTCCTCCAAATCATCCATATGCTTCATCATCCCATGGAGGCCGTGGCTACCCGGATATCAGCGCCACCGGAGCGAATGTGCCCATCATCTTTCAGAAACGGCTGACCATGGTGCCTGGGATGCCTGGAATGTGGTGATATCCGGCTGACCTGTTGTGATAAAATCTGGTGATGTCCTTAATGATGTCCTTTTTCTGTGCTTGAAAACTGGTGACATATATAGTGACGGACAATCACTTAGAACGTAATTTTTTTTCCATTTTTTTTTCGTACTTAGAACGTAGCAAAATTTCATCACTTAGAACGTAGGGAAAATTCATCACTTAGAACGTCAGAATATCACTTAGGCCCATTTATCACTTAGAACGTAAACCAACACTTAGAACGTGCTAAGTGATTGTCCGTCGCTATATAAACTATTTTTTCGATTTCAAAATCAATTAAATTTCCTTATATAGCGCAATTAAACATATTGCCAAAAATTGGATTTCGAAGCGGACCCTAATAATAAATTTAGACCCTTAATAAAGCGGCTATTTTTTTCGACTTCAAAATCAATTAAATTTCCTTATATAACGCAATTAAAATATTGCCAAAAATTGGATTTCGAAGCGAATCCTAATAATAAATTTAAACCCTTAATAAAAAGACTAGTTTTTTCGATTCAAAATCAATTAAATGTCCTTTTATAACGCAATAAGACTATTGCCAAACACTAGAGTTCGAAGCGGACCCTAATAAATTTAAACCCTTAATAAAACAAAACTATTTTTTTCGATTCAAAACCAATTAAATTTCCTTATATAGCGCAATTGAAATATTGCCACAAATTGGATTTCGATGCGGACCTAAATAATAAATTTAAACCCTTAATAAGAAAAACCGTTTTTTTCGATTTCAAAATCAGGTAAATTTCCTTATAACACAATTAAAATATTGCCAAAAATTGGATTTCGAAGCGGATCCTAATAATAAATTTAAACCCTTAATAAAAAGACTAGTTTTTTCGCTTTCGAAATCAATTGAATTTCCTTTTATAACGCAATTAAAATATTGCAGAAAATTGGAATTCGAAGTGGAATCGAAATTATGTCTAGGTTTCCTATACGGAATTAGCTGCTGAATCCAACACTTAGAACGTCAGAAACCCTAAAAAGCACCAAAAGGTATAGTGTTCCAGAGATAAAAGATCACCAATATTTGCAAATCATATGGGAGGGAAAAGCCAAATGGTACGAAATTATGTCTATGTTTCCTCGGAATTAGCTGCTGAATCCAACACTTAGAACGTCAGAACCACCAAAAAGCACCAAAAGGATCCAAAAGGTAGAGTGTTCCAGAGATAAAAGATCGCCAATGTCAAATCATATGGGAGGGAAAAGCCAAATGGTACGAAATTATGTCTATGTTTCCTACGGAATTAGCTGCTGAATCGCCCAACACCTTCAAGAAAAAAAAAAACGACTAGATAACAGCGCAAAAAGCAACCAAAGGAGATCCAACATACATGGTAGAGTGTATCCGAGATAAAAGAGGTCTGCAGCAACTCGTTGCAAACACACCCGCCGCCCCCCCCGCACTCATATAGGAGGCGAAAAGCCAAACTGGCGTCACGAAATTATGTCTAATGTCTCCTACGTAATTAGTCGTGCTAGCAAGTCCAACACCTTAGAACGTCAGTAACCCGAGGCCACCAGAAAATGCACGGCATGAAAGTATAGTGTTCGCAGAGGTAAAGACGCCAAGATTCAGGCAAACATATGGGAGGGGAGAACGCCAAATGGTCACGAAATTATGTCTAACTGTTTCATACGGAATTAGCTGCTACCTGATCCGCAACTACTTAGTAGAACGACAAAACCGACCCAAGATAGCCCAGAAAGGTATAATGGGTTCCAGAGATAAAATCGCATATGTTGCAAATCATAATGGGAGGGAAAGCCCAAAATGGTACGAATTCATGTCTATGTTCTCAGCTACGAATTAGCTGGGGCTGAAGATCTCAACACTTAGACGTCAGAACCCACCCCAAAAGTCACCAAGCGTATAGTGTTTCAGAGATAAAAGATCGCCAAGATTGCAAATCTATGGAGGGAAAAGCCCAAATTGGTACGAAATTATGTCTATGTATCGTCATACGGAATTAACTGCTGAAAAATCCAACACTTAGGAAGGCGTCAGAACCCCCAAAAGCATCAAGAAGACAAAAGTAGGGATAGTGGTTGTCGCCGCAAATAAAGGAATCCAAATAGTTTGCACTATCAATATGGGAGGCGGAAGAAAGCCAAAATGTAGCGAAATTAGTAGTCTCATGTTGTCTTACGGTCTTGAGAATGTCTAGACGCCCCAAAAAGCACCAAAAGGTAATAGTCGTTCCAGTAGAATAATAAGATCGCACATACTTTTGCAATATCAAGTATGGGAAGGGAACAAAAGCCAAATGGTACGAAATTATGTCTATGTTTCCTACGGAATTAGCTGCTGAATCCAACACTTAGAACGTCAGAACCCCCAAAAGCACCAAAAGGTATAGTGTTTCAGAGATAAAAGATCGCCAATGTTTGCAATTCATATAGGAGGGAAAAGCCAAATGGTACGAAATTATGTCTATGTTTTCCCTCCTCTTCCTTTTCCTGATCCTCCTGTCCTTCCTTTCCTTCCTTTCTCCATCTTCCTGTACGGAATTAGCTGCTGAATCCAACACTTAGAACGTCAGAACCACCAAAAAGCACCAAAAGGTAGAGTGTTCCAGAGGTAAAGACCGCCAATATTTGCAAATCATATGGGAGGGAAAAGCCAAATGGTACGAAATTATGTCTATGTTTCCTACGGAATTAGCTGCTGAATCCAACACTTAGAACGTCAGAACCCCTAAAAGGATCCAAAAGGTATAGTATAGTGTTCCAGAGATAAAGAACGCCAATATTTGCAAATTATATGCAAGGGAAAAGCCAAATGGTACAAAATTATGTCTATGTTTCCTCGGAATTAGCTGCTGAATCCAACACTTAGAACGTCAGAACCCCCAAAAAGCACCAAAACGTATAGTGTTCCAGAGATGAAAAATCGCCAAGATTGGCAAATCATATGGGAGGGAAAAGCCAAATGGTACGAAATTATGTCTATGTTTCCTACGGAATTAGCTGCTGAATCCAACACTTAGAAAGTCAGAACCCCCAAAAAGCACAAAAAGGATCCAAAAGGTATAGTGTTCCAGAGATAAGGAACGCCAATATTTGCAAAACATATGGAATGGCACGAAATTATATCTATGTTTCCTACGGAATTAGCTGCTAAATCCAACACTTAGAATGTCAGAACCCCAAAAAGCACCAAAAGGATCCAAAAGGTATAGTGTTCCAGAGATAAAAGATTGCCAATATTTGCAGATCATATGTGAGGGAAAACCCAAATGGTACGAAATTACGTCTATATTTCCTACGGAATTAGCTGCTGAATCCACCACTTAGAACGTCAGAACCCCAAGAAGCACCAAAAGGTAGAGTGTTCCAAGAGCTAAAGACCGCCAAGATTGGCAAATCATATGGGAGGGAAAAGCCAAATGGTACGAAATTATGTCTATGTTTCCTCGGAATTAGCTGCTGAATCCAACACTTAGAACGTCAGAACCCCCAAAAGCACCAAAAGGTATAGTGTTTCAGAGATAAAAGATCGCCAATGTTTGCAAATCATATAGGAGGGAAAAGCCAAATGGTACGAAATTATGCCTATGTTTCCTACGGAATTAGCTGCTGAATCCAACACTTAGAACGTCAGAACCACCAAAAAGCACCAAAAGGTATAGTGTTCAAGAGGTAAAGATCGTCGCAATATAAAGTCTAAAAAAAGTCATACTTTGCGAAAAAATCAATAATGGGAGGGAAAACCAAATGGTACGAATTTGGTTCTATGCTTTCCTAACAATGTTTCCTTAACGGAATTAGGCTGCTGAACATCAAAAGCTTCTTCTGCTTGAAAATCCAACGATTAGAAAACATTCCGAACAAAAGACAGAACCCCCCAAAAAAGCAACCAAAAGGATCCAAAAGGTAGAGTGTTCCAGAGATAAAAGATCGCCAATATTTGCAAATCATATGGGAGGGAAAAGCCAAATGGTACGAAATTATGTCTATGTTTCCTACGGAATTAGCTGCTGAATCCAACACTTAGAACGTCAGAACCCCAAAAAGCACCAAAAGGATCCAAAAGGTATAGTGTTCCAGAGATAAAAGATCGCCAATATTTGCAAATCATATGGGAGGGAAAAGCCAAATGGTACGAAATTATGTTTATGTTTCCTACAGAATTAGTTCCTGAATCCAACACTTAGAACGACAGAACCCCCAAAAAGCAACAAAAGGATCCAAAAGGTATAGTGTTCCAGAGATAAAAGATCGCCAATGTTTGCAAATCATATAGGAGGGAAAAGCCAAATGGTACGAAATTATGTCTATGTTTCCTACGGCATTAGCTGCTGAATCCGACACTTAGAACATCAGAACTCAGAGCCCCCAAAAAGCACCAAAAGGTATAGTGTTCCAGAGATAAAAGATCGCCAATATTTGCACATCATATGGGAGGGAAAAGCCAAATGGTACGAAATTATGTCTATGCTTCCTACGGAATTAGCTGCTGGATCCAACACTTAGAGATAAAAGATTTCACAAGCCTTCCCACTATCATCAGTGACCTAGACACGTTCTAAGTGTTAAATCCCCGGTACGTTCTAAGTGATGAATCTTGATATTTGGACGTTCTAAGTGTATGGTTTTCGACGTTCTAAGTGCAAGGCTTAGAACGTAAAAAAACAGTAATATTCAGAATTTTTTTTCCAAAATACGTTTAAGTGATTGTCCGTCACTATATAAGTCCTCCATTTTTGGATGGTTGGTTTTTGCACCATCTATTTTTGAGGTGATGAATTTTGGGGATGGTTTATGACATTGTTTGAACCACATGGAAAATTACTTCAGGTCCTTCAGGTGAGTGAATTGTTCAGATTTCTGGCTTCGTGAATTCTCAAAAATTCTCCAGACCTATGGCCTTGGTGAATTGGTGGTTGATTGGTGGTCTTTTGAAGAGGAGCGAAAGTGATGGCAGTATGGCAGTTGTCTGGTTTTGGCTGCAGGGTTGCGCCTGTTGAAGCCAAGTCACAAACGGATTCAGTCAAACATGTTCGAATCATTGACTGACTTTGGAGAATGAGGTCTCAGTTGTTTAGTTCTACAACTGAGAACTGTAGTTATTCTTGGCAGCAGAATATATCTGGGTAAATTATAACGACCTCACTACGACCTCACTGGGAATCATGGTTAGTAAGGGAAATCATCCCCAAATGGGCTTAATTCAGGTTAGTGAAATATTATAATTTACCCAGATATATTATAGTCCATGGTCTTTCCACCGAAATTTTGGAGTGGTTTTTTCCCTTGCAAAACCTTAGAAATTGGTGTAGCAGTATTTGGAATTATTTGGATGTACCCTCTGGTAATTTTTCACGTAGCTATGGAAAGATCCACCATTTTCAATGGGAAAATCCAATATAAATATCTATAAATCACCATTTTCAATAGCTATGTTAAATTACCAGAGGGTACTTAAGGCCCTACTTACTAGGGCAATCTCCAAGTACTACAGCCAGCTGCCAGACCCGAGGTCGGCGGAACCTCTGCCAGCAGTCCGGAAGTCTCAGATGTCGTGAAGGATGACTGAATGGATAGGCTGCTGTTTTTTGAGGAACAAGGAGGGCTACAATTGACAACAAGAATTTGAAACAATTCTATGGATTCTATGGGGATATAAAATGGATATAATTTGATCCCACAAGGGGGATATTTGGATGGATTGTGGAATTGACACTAATCTTTATCGAGTTTGGTGGGAGAAATGGGGATGAAAAGGCAACAAAGGAGGTATCCGCCATTTTTTCCGACTAACTTTGGTTATGTTCAAGATATATGGTAATTTGTCTGAATGTGTATAGATGGTGATTTTGTACCATTTGGATATGTGCATCCCATTTGAATTTCATTCTAAACAAGATCGGTTCCTTCAAATTTCCCCATGGTCACCATGTCTGTTTTTCGCGCATGGTCACCCATGCAGATCATCACCAGGCACTCATTACATATTAAGAATTCAATTTGTTTTGATGTTTTTATATCCCTTATAAGTGCCAGTGCAACCAGCTATAGCAGCTATGTTTGTTGCTTTTTTTAGCCCCATGCTATTGTTAGGATTTGTGGCTCTATCACCAACCAGCCCCTGATGCAGTTCTTTCCGACTAGCTGAAACGAGTCCACTGGGTGGGTGTCCAGAAAGTCCATGTGAAGTCAACAGAGCACATTCAGATGTCTGATTCAAATTGATTCAACACACGTGTATATATATATATGTATATATACAGTATATACAGTATATACAGTATATACAGTATATACAGTACTTGTTGTGATGTAGCTGTAGCCTAGGTACTATACAGACATGTATAAAATGTAACCCTGATCATTGACTTCAGTATTTCTTCAAGGGCTTGGAATAAGTACCCAGCATATCATAGGGATCCCTTGGGGAGAGCCTATCCCGAGGTCCGATCGTTGCTGGTCTGGTGGCGTTGATCAATGGAGAGAGGTTGGATGCTGCTTTGCCGCCCTTGGGATTCTTGAATCTTGGTCGAAAATGGTCGAAATTTGGGGGGGTCTTGGTTGATTTTTTGCGGTGCAGATATGTGCAGATTGCCACACAAAAATAGCTACTATGTTTTTTTGTTGAGCCAGGATACAAAAAGGTTTTGGTGCATTTTGGTGCTAAAGATTTGTATATATTTGGTATACAGGATATTATGCGATGATCTGGTTGTTCAAACATACACAGGACATTTCCAAGGAAACCCAAGGACACCTGTACATAACTGCAATCTAATGTTTGCCTTTAGCTGTGAGTCAAGATGATCAGCTGCAATCAAATGATTGAACTAAGTTCTATCCAGTTCCAGCGCAGATGTCAGCGAGGTTTTGCTGACTTGACTGCAACACTTTTTTTGTGAACCCAAAGAACTTGGGAAGATCTGAGGTTGTATCATCTTTTGTATCCCATGATTTTGAAAAAAACACATGTTTTTTGGGCCTAAACCAACTGGGGCTTGGTTTAAGCACCATTTTGGAGACAAAAAAACCCGTCGGACATCGTCAGGAATCCGCTCTTGTATTCCACTTATCAGCGCTGGCCGGAGATCGTCCAAGACGTGCGTGTGTGGCACCTTAGAGAGCTGTTTCTGGCGATGCAGAGAGTTTGTGCAATTTACCTCAATTTACTACATGTTAGTGGGATGTCTACAAACAAACAGTACTATAGCATGTTCAACGAATTCAGAATAAGTGCCTTTTTCAAGACGGAGGTTGTTCTTGACTTGATCATCAATGTGATCAATCACTTATTTCAAGAACATCTATAGATGTCCATGCATTCATATTTGCTCATGTTCTTCAAGATAACTGCATTTTTTTGCTGTTGGTGACTTTTTTGTCTTTAGATGTCTTTAGTTCAGAGAGGCTTGGCCCAAAACTTGCTCCAGCTCACTGGTTGGGGTTGCTCCCCTATTTCAGGTGGGGAACATCTCTGGAACGAATCTGCACCTTGGCGGACAAATTCTCAAAACACCACGTTGTACTGGAGGCTTTCTAATATAGATGTGGGTAATACATAACACTAAAAAAAACCATGACTGGGAATGGTACAGATTGCCACCTATAAACATGCTGATGACTGGGGATTTCTTGGGGATGGTAAACATGACATTGTTTTACCCACAATGGAACAGAAAGATGTCATCGAACGATCCGTCCCTCTCAACGTCGAGGCTGCTGCCTCCGCCGCTCAAAGACTGCCAGCAGGGTTTCCCTGCGCGACCCGGCTGGGACGCGGCGAGCGGATTGGGTGTGGTGACCCAGTGGACCCAGTGGGCCTGGCCATGGCGATGGCGCAATGCGCATGGTGAGGATCCCAAAGGTGGTATGGATGGTGTGAAAAACCACTGCACAATGGTGATCTAAGCAGCAAGCGTGGTGATTTGATCAACAAAGATCTGCGAAACCTGGGAACGAAGCATCAAGTCTCATGGATTTGTACCGTGTACATACCCAATTACAAACTCAGTCATACCATAAATATCCATAAATTCTTACCAACATGACTTGCCAAAAAGGATCAAAAAGGTGCTTCAATGGGGAGATGGAGACCCAGTTCTACTTGAGGTCTTCTCAGAACTGGAGACCCCAAATATCCCCAAATTAATATCTTCAAAGTTCATCATGTTCATCCAATCATAGATATTCATCGGATTTTAGGCTCACTCATAGAATTGGATGATGGGAAAATTTACAGGAAACCTCTATATTTGATGGTAAAAACCATGGTTTCCTGTAGATTTTCCCTTAAACCAATCCATTGACTCACCCAATTCTGAAACAAAAAGCCAAATCATCCCTCAGATCTTGGTGCCGGAGTGGGGTCGATTTCAGGTTGCTCCAAGTTGCTAAGGCTCCCCCAACTTCAAGGAGATGTCGGGGAGCTCGGGATGGATCCCTTTTGGCTTCGATATGTCGATCAGAATGCGAGCCCATCACCTCAAAATCCAGTGGTTAAGATCATCACGTTCCAAATCAAGACATATCCAAACTGCCATCTTTTGGTGGTGATCTGCCAGTTTTGACCCAGTTCCCATGTGAAGAAGTGGATGATTTTCGAGCAACCACGGACCCAGGTCTAGGGAGGGTTGTCCCAAAATTCGGAACCCCAAATATGCAATGTTTTCTCATCCTTGTCATTCAATTGTTGCCTTATAAATCCACACTTTATATCTGGAACATCGGCAAAATCGCTAGTTGACTCAAAGAAATGGCCCTAGAAATTGCGATGTTTATCAATGTTTCTCCTGTCTCTCTATTTCGAGCCTCAAAAAACAGACCTCTGACCACCTCAATGGACCAAGGCTTGCGCACTTGGTACACACCAGGAATCTGGTGAAAACTGCCAGTGCTGAGCAGAAGTTGGTGGTGTGAAAAACGAAGAAAAAACGTCGTGGCGATGGTGAGTTGGACAGTGGTGGAGTTAGGGAGTTGGAGGATTTGTTCGAGTTTTTTGTGTTAGAGAAGCAGTTGGACTTCGAAGCAACAAAAAGAAACAAGAATAAGAAATAGTGAACCATGTTAAACTGATTGGTGGTTTGGAACATGTTTTTTCCATATCTTGGGAATGT